TTTCCTCGAATTTGAACTTGCTCTTGATCTGAACAAATTTGCATTGAGGGGTGTGAATTGGATGAGCTTCACAGACTCAGTAAGGAAAATGAGCAGTGCCCATAACAAAGACATGCACACTCAATCACCAAATCTTCTAAATCAGTTCATTCAGTAAATGTTCAGAATTCCTTATTTCAGTATCATAACTCAGGGTATAACAGTTCTATAAATAACATAATTCAGTATTCAGTATCACAATTTAAATAGTGAGCAGTTCAGTAGATATTAATTCATTATTTTAGTATTGTAAACTTCACTCGTGGCTTTTCATTCATTCATATCAGTTTATATCTTATTAAAAATAGTTTCACCGTGCGATGTCGTCTTCACCGGTATCAATGAGGGCAGTAAAGATCCCCTCTATCACGTGATACGTTGGCAGTTCAGTTCACACCTTACAGTTTGTAGTACACAATATACAGTTCATATTTCTTATCGCTTCGTCACGTCTGGTTGAAGCTATATCCACAGGTAGGGTTCACCACAATCACACGCCAAAATGCTACACATCCCCACTGGTGATACCGATTAAACAAATTTTCTCATCTTTTAAGGATTCTTATGTTATTTTTTTACTAATCAGGTTCACCACCAGATGACTTACTCAGACATGCACCTACTTATATATCATATATATATATATATTATATATCAACAAGCCTACACAACAAGCACAATACATATACTTTATATGCACAGTTATCGACTCAAATAAGTATATATAAACACGGAACACATGCAACATATATATACTTATATATTTACACAATACATATATGTATTATATAAGCAGACACATACAAGTTGTTCACTCATACATACACACGTTACACAACCTATAATTATATATACATATATATATATATAGATATATATGTCACACACACCTATAACTTGATAACTAGCATGCATAAAACCTGTATATACCTACAAGTAACAATATGAATATATAATTATATGTCATACACAACATCATGTAAATTTTCAATCATATGCAATTGCACACATGCGAATATGATGAGTTTGCTTAACTCGTGGTAGAAAACATGAACAGTTTGTAAAGTCTGTAAATAATCATTTCAATGGAAAATAAGGTTCCATAAAAAATATAGAGGCCTCTGAATGAGATTAATCTAATCCCTTACCTAGAGTCGAATAAAAAAATATTGGAATCCTTATTGGTTCGAGTCTATAGTCTTCTCTGAATCCCGATTACTGTTTAGATAATTTCTTCATTTACAAACAAAAACACATAGGTTAAATGACGAATACTTATGGAAATAATTAAAATACAAAAATGGACCGAGATTTACCATAGACATGTGATCTCAGTCACCAAAATTACCACGTGCCACCACACACGTGTCCCTAGTTCACAACGTGCCACTGTCGGAGCATCGTCGCTGGACCACCACACACTGTCGCAGACCAGTGTGAATCGACCAAAATTCACCGTGAAATGTTTCATACACACGGATCCGATGCGTACATGGCGAAATTGCACTAGAAGGAGCCAAGAATATGCAAAATTGCGTGGCCAACCACAGCGGATCTCCTTCTTCTTCGGATGCACGATGTCGCACGATTTTCTATTTGGTTTCCGATCGAGTAGGTCGTCAGCCGCTTAAACTCCTCGGCTCGTCACGAGAGCCGTGCACCATCACAGACCGCCTCACGCAGGTTAGTGGCAGCCGTGACTCCGATTTCCTCTCTTTATCTCTGTTTCTACAGAGATCTCTTTCTCTCTTTTTGCACCACTCTCCCTCTCCATGGCTCGTTCTCTCTCCATTTTTATAGTCGGAGAGAGGAGAGCCCCATACGGGCCTTTTTCCTCCTTCTTTGGTGGAGGGAAGAGGCCTATACGCCTCTTCTTCCTCTTCTTCTTCGGCAGCCAGAGGCTTATATGCCTCTCGTTGCCCTATTTTTTTTCCTGTCACCAAAACAGCGTCGTTTTACATGCTTATCGAGACAACATCGTTTTGGGCTTTTTCTGCTTCTAAGAAGCAGATGGGTTGGGTTGTTCCTCTCAGACCAGGTTGTTAGAGTGCTTGTTATACTAACTCATTATACTTTGCTCATAATTTGGCCTCATATTGTTATTAAATATAGAACAATTAATTGTAAAAAAAAATAATATGTTTTAATTCGTATAGGATCAATTGATTAATTAGATCAGTTGAAGAATTAGTTTGAATTATTTTAGTTTTAATAAAGTTTTATTGTAACACTCAACATTTAATTATTTTATTTTTTATTTAAGTTATTTTTTTATAAATATAATTATTTATTAATTGAATTGAATTTATTTTAATTTAATTTAATGAATAATAATAATAATAATAATAATAATAATAATAATAATAATAATAATAATAATAATAATAAAGGTGAAAAAATTAGTTAAGGATTTAATTGAAAATAATTTTGGAAAAAAAGGTGGAAATTTGGGTTCTGATGGTATTTTTTAAAGAAAAATAAGAAACCGATGGTCAAAATATAATTTAAAAAAATTGCGCCATATCAGATGCCCCGACTACCAGAACGCGCCAGGTGGCAGAGGCGCTGACACTGGAGGCCACGCAGGAGGGGAGCCACGTAAGCACCCCTAACCCTATTTCCTATCATGTTTTTGAAGTTTGAATAAATAATAATATGATATTTTGTACAAATTAAATAGACGTGCATAATTAATTACGAATTGCTAATGGAGCCCGAACCAAATATTATTCTCTGTTGATTTCTGTTGATTTATTTTACAGTTTAAAAGTATGATGGTATCTGATTTATTTATTTTATGGTTTTAAATACATGTATCACTGCCTTACTTGACCACTGTATGATTTTGGAATTTAAGATATGATTGCATTATCGAGTGCATGTTCATTGTTTATGTGATTGTGTTTGATTTGGTAACGGAGACTAAGAGAAGACAGGAAATGGGTGTGATCTAATAAACATATAAGATGACAGCCTCACTAGACATCCTAGGAGATGGTGGACGGACTGGATTCATAGGGAACCCTACCGTGAACGTTATCTCATACCGGACGGAGTATGGAGACTTGGTCATTTAGCACTCATACCGGATGAGGTATGCGGACGGCCCGCTTCAACACCATACCGGACCGGGTATTGAGATTTAAGGTCTTGGCGCTCATACCGGACGGGGTATGGGGACGACTCTATAATTAAAATTGTTAAGGAAAAGGGTTCACGTGTAGCGGGGACACCCCTATGGATCCCCATGGATACTAGTGGGCTGGTGAAACGAAAAGCGGTTACGATTTAGTTTATTGTTAATAAATGTGAATTTATGATATGTTCTATGTTGCTGATTGTGCATGAAGTTATGATTTGTATGTTATTATTGCTTTTATAATTTGTTTTCATAAATTTCTCAATGGTAAGTAAAAGAGTAAATGGTTTTATTTTAAATAAATATATTAGTTTAAATCTAATGCTCAATTGGTTGTTTTGATATTTTACCAACCTTTATTTCTGTACCAGTGATATAGTGTCATGTCCTTACTGGGTTAGTATAGCTCACCCCTTATTTAATCATTTTAGATCAAAAGGTCTG